GCTGCGTGGCAGCAAGAGTTGCTTCAATATCTCCTCTAAGCCTAGCTAATTAGATTCTGCTGCTGCTGCAGCTCCAGCAGCAGCAGAAGGTGCGTCGGAAGCGGCAGGACAGATAAAGAACGCTCTGAGTCTGGAATAAGTGCTTAAGGTTCTGCTGCTGCTGCAGCAGCAGCAGCAGCGGAGCAATCCGCCGCAGCTGCCCACCGCTGCCCCTGCTGCAGCAGCAGCAGCAGCAAAACTCCGCCCGAGGCTGCCGCCCCCCCGCGGAACTGCGCCCCGCCCGCGGCGCGGCAGCAGCAGCCGCTGCAGCGCCCCGCAGCACAGCAGCAGCAGCAGCAGGAGCAGGAGGCCGTTCGGCGCGGGAAAAGGCGCAGCAACGGCAGAGCAGCAGCAGCAGCACGCGCAGCTAGTCCTGCTGCTGCTGCCACTTGGCGAAAGTGTCCATTTTGCCGTTTACGTGCCACCTCGCCAGCGTGAAGTAAACCCAAAAAGCCCAAAAGGCCCACCAGCAGCAGCCCATGGACACGGCGGACCAGACCAGACCACCCGCGCCGGTCCACAGCTCCGTGTCCACCCGAGTGGTCCACTGGTTCACTGCGGGGTCGAAGGAGAACTTGGGGGTGCCGGCCATGGCTGCTTTCCCGAAGTCCCAGTTCAGCTGCAGCGCCCTGCTGCAGCGCATGCACCGCCGCCGCAGCTGCTGCAGCGCGCCCCGCAGCGCCCAGTACGCGCTGCTGCCGCCGAGCCCGTGCATTGCTGCTGCTGCTGCTGCTGCTGCTGCGGGGGCTGCGCGCAGCAGGGGCACACAGGGCTGGGGGCTGCGGAGGGGCCACGGGGGCTGGACTGCAGGGAACTTAAGGGCGATTACTGCAGGGAATTAAAGTGCGGCTCTTTGCTTCTTGCATGCACGGAAAAGGCTGCGGACTGCGCGAGCCAGCTGCATGCACGGCCGGCCGCAGCAGCAGCGCGCCCAGTCGACCGCCGCTCTGCGTCTTAAGCTGCAAATTTAACGAAATTCAACTTTTAAATGCTTCAAAATGCTTCGAAATGCGAAAAATCAACCCCAAACGCGAAAGCACGCACTGCCCGCGAGCCACCCCTAGCCTACCACGCACCTGGCACTCCTCACGCTCCCGAAACGCCGCAGTCCAAAAAGCCTTCGATTCAGCTCCTCGAAAATCGCAAAAAGACTTCTTTTTAGTGTCTCTGCGCTGCTGCTGCTGCTGCTGCTGCTGCTGCTGCTGCGCTGCTGCTGCTGCTCGCCGCCGCCGCTGGGCTGCGGCGCCGCTGCGCATGCAGCTCGGGGCTTTCGGGTGTCACTGCAGCCTGCTGCGCGTTTTGCGCCTTCTGCTCCTTTATTCTTTCGTTTTTGTTTAATTTTACTTTATGCTTTTCGCAGAACAGAAAAAGCCGAACGAAATCCCGCGAGATCGACCCCCGCCGACTCCGCTTCCCCGGGTGTACCTACACCTCGCCGAGCTTCGCAGCAGCAGCTCCCGTCTTCAAAGATTTCACTCTTCCCGAATTTAAAAAGTCAAATTAAATCCGTAATTCCTTTTTTAGAGATCAGCCACTTCTTTTGGCGACGAAATGTCGGTAAGTCCGCTGCCGCAGCAGCAGCAGCAGCAAGAGGACCGTGAGCTTTGCTGCAACCCCCGCGAAAAGTTTGCTGCTACTGCTCCTGCATTTGCACTTCTGCAGCAGCAGCGGTGTTTTGCTGCCACAGTTGCTGCTGCTGCTGCTGCTGCTGCAGTTGAAGAGCTGCTGCAGCAAAAGTGTTTTGTGCTGCTGCAGCTGGCGCCGCTAAACCCTAAACCCTTTTTGACTTCTCTCACTGGGAAGCAAGTGATGGTCAAGTTGAAGTGGGGGATGGAATACAAAGGTACTTTAATTAATTAAACTAATTTAATTAAGATAAATTTATCAAATTTAATCAATTGATTTAATTGATTTAATTAATTTAATTTATTTAATTTATTCGATTTAATTGGCATCTTTTAAATCCCGAAAAGCCGCATCTTCCCGCTTTTAAAAGCTGCCCAAGCCGAATTTGCTGCTGATTTCAACACTGTGCTGCTGCTGCTGCTGCTGCTGCTGCTGCTGCTGCTGCTGCTGGTTTGCTGCTGCCGACTCCCATGCTGCTGCTGCTTGTGTGCTGCCATCGCCGCCTGCGCTCCTGCTGCGCTGCCTTCTCGCCTGCTGCTGACGCCGCCCCCGCTGCCGCCGCTGCTGCTGCTGCGCTGCTGCTGCTGCTGCTGCTGCTGCTGCTGCTGCAGGGTATTTGAAGTCCTTCGATGACTACATGAACATCCACTTGCTAAATAGTGAGGAGTGGGTGGAGGGAAACTTCAAAGGGAGTTTGGGAGAAGTTTTAATTCGCTGCAACAACGTGCTGTACATACGGCAGGTGCAGGGCGAAGACGAGGCCGAAGAGGCTTCTTAATAAATAAATAAATAAATAAATAAATAATAAGTAATAAATAATAAATAAATAATAAGTAATAAATAATTTAATTCGTTAATTCGTTTAATTTATTTATTTATTTAGTTCGGTTGCTGGGGGAGGTTTGGTCACCCCAGATGCAACGCCCGGGGAAACTGCAGCACTTTTAATTACTTCGGTTCTAGGGTTTAGGGTTTAGGGTTTAGGGTTTAGGGTTTAGGTTTAGAGTTTAAGGTTTAGGGTTTAGGGTGTGGGGTTTGTGGGTTCGCTATCCCTTTGAGAACGCACAGATCCAGTGCTGACCTCTGCTGTCAGGGTTTAGGGTTTAGCGTTTAGGGTTTAAGGTTTAGGGTTTGGAGTTCAGGGTTTAGAGTTTAGAGTTTAGGGTGTAGAGTTTAGGGTTTAGGGTTTAGGGTTTAGAGCCCTTAGTTTCGCTGATAAAGCTGCATGTTCCAGAATCAGAAATGCAAGCTGGAGAGTGGAACGAGTAGCTGCTTCTAGTGAACTTTGCTGCTGCACCAGCAGCAGCAGCAGCAGCAGCTGTTGCAGAAGCATCGGGTGCTGCTGCTGCAGCAGCTGCAGCAGCACTGATTGCTGCTGGTTGTGAGCTGCTGCAGCATAGTTCGAACTCGAGTCGGCGGAGCTCTATTTTTCGCGGAATTCGACTTTATTTTGAATCTGATTTAAAATATATTATTTTGAATTAAATAAGAATTAAAAATTAAAACAAAAAAGTCTTTTCTGCTTCCTTTTCTCTTTTTGCAAGTTTGAAACTCCGCGGGGGACTCGCGTGTGGCTGGTGGAACGTGAAATGGCGGACGTGGAGGCCGTCTTTCGTGTTTTTAATTTAAAATTTGAGTAAATAAATAAAAATAAATAAATACAAATAATAATAATTAAAATTAAGTGAAAGAAAGGGATTAAAGACGTGTTTTTGAGACTTTGGATCTGCTGCTCTCGCGGCGGGCAGTGGGGCTGTAGCTGCTGGGGTGTACGTACACGCAGCTGGTTGCTGGAGTTCGTTCGAGGCGAATTTGAATTGGAATTATTATTTCATTTATATTTCATTTATATTTTGTTTCGAATTATTTGGTTTGGGAATTGTTTGGAGTTGCTGCCGCGAAGTTCGCGGAAGGCGGCGCGTGTGGCTCGCCGCGGCTCCCGCGGCTCTGCTGCTTCTGCTTTCTGCAGCTTTCGGGATTAAAGGCTTTATTTATTTCTTTTTTCCTTTTCTTTTGTTAATTTCTTTTCTTTTTCCTCTTTTCAGTCCAAACTTTTCCTTTTTTCTTTTCTGCCGATGGCTGCGGCCGCCGCCGCCGCGCGCTGCGGCTTCGCCTTCTCGCCGGGTGTCTGTACACCCGAATTGCGCGCTTTGAACTGGAGTTTCTCCGCAGTTGCAAATCCCACAACTTCTTTCCATCATTTCAATCATTTTAATTCTTTTTTTCATTTAAATTGTGCACATCTTTCCATTCCAACCAAAGGACTTGCATGCAGAGCCAAGCCGCTCGATATTCATCTTTGCAAAGAAGTCCTTCGGGCTGCCCGCAGTTTCAAAAACTTGAATTTCAGAGACTACTTCGTCCGCAGAGTAAATCTGATTTCATTAATTAATTTAATTAATTAATTAATTTATTCAATTTGATTAATTTAATTGGTTTAATTTATCATTTAATTCATCAATTAGTGGACTGTTTAATGGACCATTTGGTGGATTACTTATCATTTAATTGTTTTCTAATTTTACTTTTAATGAAACCTTTAGCAGATCAGTTTCTTTTATTTCAGAAGAGCAGCTGCTGTTTTTTTCTTTCTTTTCTCGGCAACTTAAAATATAAATATATTATAAATATATATATATTGTTTATAAATAATATATATAGGATATATATTATATATGTATTATATATATTGCATATAATATATCTGCTTTCGTTTATTCGCCACTTGGGGTGTACGTACACTCCGCGCGCCTGCGGTACAGCTGCAGCAAACAAATTTTAAATTTCCACTTTTGAATTTTCATTTTTCAAGTTTATTTTTCTTTGCATGCATTCGCATGCATTTTAGTCAAAACAATTCTTCAGCTTTTGCCTCTTTTTGTAATAAACTGCAGCTAAATTATATATACATATATATATATTATATTTTATATGTATATAATATGTATATATATTATATAATATATATATAATGTATATGTATATACAATTCTTATATATATTATTATATACATATTATATTATGTATTACATTATATTATATCTTTTTATTTGATCTAAAACTTCTTGCGGTTCTGAGATTTGGAATTTGTAATAATTATTTGTAAATGTTTTTAAAATAAACATTTTATATTTCCAATAAATAAATAAGTATTCAATATTTATAACAAATGAATGTTTAATATTTCTATTACATAAATAAATGTTCAATATTTCTAATAAATAAATAAATATCTAATATGTACAATATATAGATGAGTCTTTAATATTCACAGTATGTAAATAAATATTTAATATTTATAATAATTAAATAACTATTTGCTATTTATAATAAAAAATAAACATTAGATATTTATATTAAATAATATTCTTTAGAAAGAGTCTTAAAACGCATGCAAGATCTCAAAAAGGAAATGTTTGCAAGAGGGCCCTTTGTTTAATTCTTTTTTATTTTAAAATGTTTCAGTTTCTTTCTTTAATTTGGTGTCTTTTAAAATTAAAAATGAAGTTTTAACTTCTTTTAAATGCAAATAATTCTTTTGAATTCAAATTTGGGTTTCAGGCGAAGGAGAAGCTGCGGGAGCTGCGGTGTACAGACACCGCAGACGCGGAGGCGCAGCTGAAGAAGGAAATTGAAGATTTAAAAAGACAAGCAACAATTACAAACATTTATCATTTGCCAACAGTTACAATTTACAAATGAAAAGAAACAAACTTGAATTCGAGTTCCGGTGTACAGACACCCGCTGGGGTGTACAGGCACCTCCCTCGGGTGTACAGGCACCTCCCTCGGGTGTACAGACACCCCGCTCGGGTGTACAGACACCGCACACTTCAGCTCCATTTGTTTCCGTTTTTTTGCGTCGTTTTTGATTTTGTTTTTTCCGTTTATTTCATCAGTTGTTCCCTCCAGACTGCTGCTTTTCTTTTGAGATTTTTTAAACGCCTTTTGCGTCTTTTCCTCCAAACGGATTTTTTTCTTTTCCACCAGCGGCTCACTGAATCCGCCTTCTTTAGCAGCGGCAGCAGCAACAGCAGCAGCAAATAGATTCGATTCAGTTGCTTCGAAATGATTATATATTTTGCCAGTCTATAGATTTGGAATTGAGAAAAAGAAAAAAGAAAAAAATTTGCAAATGCCGCAGCAGCTTGGACTCAGGCTGTGGGCGTTTCAGCTCTTCGCAGCTGAAGGGCGAAAAGGGGAAATTAGAAAATGCAAAAAGAGAAATGAAAAGAAATAAAAAGAAATAAAAAGAACAGAAATGATAAATAATTAATTAAAATGCAAAATGGAAAAGAAAGGTGCAAAAAAGAAAAAGGGTGAAAAAGAGATCGAAGAAAATGACCAGACGCGAGACACCCAAACGCCAGCTGTCTAGACACCCCAAAATGAGACACTTTCGAGCTCTGCTGCTGCTGCTGCTGCTGCTGCAGCAGCAGATAGCTCCCAACCAGCTCTAAGGATGAGTTTTAAGTGCATCTATTTCGAGGAAATGTATTTATAAAATAAAGATAACTTTATAGAAAGATATGCAGATATGTACTATATAGAAAGTATATCTTCGAACAATTATATATATATATATATCCATGTATATGTATACATGCATATTTATATATATATATTTTCTATATTATATATATAAGTATATAATTTATATCTATATATACATTTATATGTGTATATGTATATGCATTATATATATATATATATATATTTGATATTCTATTAAAAGCCCACAAGTCATTTGTTAAGCTAGCAGCTAATCTATAAATATACATTAATGTGTTACAGATTATTTATTATTATTTATTATATAGAATATATTTTATATAATATATTTTATATATATGACTTGTGGAGAGATATCTAAACAAATGCAGCAGCAGATGTTTAGTGGAGATAGGCAAATAAGAGCTTTTGCATGCATTCTTTTGAACTATTTTGAATTATTTTGAATTATTTTGATTTATTCTGAATTGTTTTAAATTGTTTTTGAATTATTTCGCAAAAAAATATTTGAAGACCTTTCAGTGGATACTTTGTGCATGCAGAGCGCTGAGGTGTCTGTACACCTCGCGGGTCGCTGAACTCGCCAAAAGGAACTTTTCGTGAAAACGAATTTTTGAAGACAAATGAAGTCAAATGTGGCCTTTGAGGCATTAATTAATTAAATAATTAAATTTAAACAAAAGATTCGACAGAAATTCAATTTACATGGGGAGATCCAGACGGCTGTCCACGCTACAGGCCTTACTTCAAGTGTACATACACCTGATGCATGCACAATCTGCAAAAGGTTGAATTTTACATATTTTGCAAAATATATAATGTTAGACATATAAACGCATGCAAGACCTTGTTTTATTTGTTTTAATTAATTAAATTGGCACAAGGACAACATGAATTGGCCTTGTTCAGCTTTTTGAATCATTTAATCAAATTTCCTCGACTTTTCCTTGCTTTTTTTTCCATCTTTTTGATCCATTTTGCCTCATTTGTTAATTTAATTATTTAAATTCAATTTTTCTTCTCCTCTTCTCCAATTCGTTTCCAACTGCAGCAAATCAAGAACTCGCGGTGGCCAGTGCTGCATGCTGCAGCAAAAACACAACAGCAAATGTCTACTGTTTATCATTTATTTTATCTCAGTTTTAGATTTAATTAATTTTAATTATTTGTTTAGATTGTTCTTTATCTTGGGCCTCTCCAGTTCCCTCTTTTCAAGAATTAATTTCTCCACAACACCAACAACCCCAAACCCTAAACCCTAAACC